TGTGCCATTCTCACTAGGGTGAGGTGGTATCTCATTGTGGTTTTAATTTGCATCTCCCTTATTACGAGTGATGTTGAACATTTTTTCATATATTTGTTGGCCATCTGCATTTCCTCTTTGAAAAAGTGTCTTTTTAGCTCTTCTGCCCATTTTTGATGGGGTTGTTTATTTTTGTTGAGTTTTGTCAGTTCTCCGTATATTTTTGTGATCAGTCCTTTATCACTGTTTTGTGTGAGAAAATTTTTTCCCAATTAGTGGGCTGTCTGTTTTTTTTTTTTTTGTAATGTTTCTTTTGCTGTACAGAAACTCTTTAACTTGATGTAGTCCCATCTATTTAGAGAGGAATTTTTTATGAATATATTGCAATTGAAAGATAAGCACTTTTCAGTGTCAGTTGTATCACATTTATATAATTTTAGTTGTGTTCTTATAAAGAGCCACTAACATCATATTGATGAAGATAAAAATCCACTTTAAATGAACAAAAGACTGGAAAACTCAGGCTTGATTTCTCCAAACACTTACTTTGTTCCTGCTTTAAAGTCTGATTTTTTTTTCTTTTTTGTTCTTCATAAAAGAGACAGAGTAGCCAGGACAGGAGGGCTGCAATGAGAATTTGACTCATTTTCTCTAAGGATAATAGAAAACTAAGAGGTTGCGAATATTTGTGATTTCCATGGTTCTGGAAGTGTGGTTCTGTACAGCAATGTCCACATCACTTCAGAACTTGTTACAAATACAAATTATTTGGGCTTATTCCAGACTACTCAATCAGAAACTTGGGGAGCAGAACCCAGCAATGGAGTTTAACACATCAAATAATTTTGATCCATGCCCTTGCTTGAAGGCCCCAGGGATAGACTAAGATATATTTGCTCTGGTTTCAGTGAGATAAATTATAAATTTACATTTAAAGTCCACTAATTTATGATTCATTATATATAAAACACTTTGAAGGTCCTTCTGGTGGAAAGCTGAGGGGATTTGCATCTTCCATGAATTTTTTAAAATCTTCTTACTTTCCTACCTAAGCCTTTTATTAGTTTACCTTGGGACACTCCCTTATGCATCTGTGTAGCCTCAGGCACACCTGGGCAACCAATTTAATAGAATATAGCCCACAGATCCTCTTTCCAAAGCATGCAAGGATTAGATCCCACCAAAGAGGGAAACTCATTCACTAATTGATTTTGATTAGGTAAATATTTTTATATAACTTTGTGGTTGTGGAGATTTTTTTCTTTTCTGGACATATTTCATTCATCGTCCACCAACCTTCTGTGCCAATGCTCCCCACCCCTCCCTTTTTAAAAAGATTTATTTATTTGTGCATACAGAACTAGGGCACAGGCCAGAGTTGCAGGGGCAGTGAGAACCTTCACCTGAGACAGAGTGGGGAGCAGAACAGGCACAATGACAAAGTATACTGCTGAGGGGAGCAAGGGCAAGACAGGAGAGGTCTGCTGCGGCATGTGGATCACCTCCGGGGCAGGGATTGAACTCACACTGAAGCTACTGCTAGCTTCTCAGTGCTGTGCTTTAACCCACCATGCCACCAGGAAAGGTCCCCACTCCCCACCCCCTTTTTTTAACCATTGAAGCCCCATTACCTCAGTCACAATTTATGTGCCATCTTGGTTTTAGGGAATGTCAATTAACATGCACTAATTTATGTACTCATTTATTCATTAATTATTTCAGGTACTGAAAGCTCAGGTGATATGAAAGAGTATTTTGACTTCCTTCATCTCTCACTCCTGCCTTCTTTATATCTCAAGATACTGAGTCCTGATTTCTGTCTCATTCCACAACTGATCTCTCAGAAATTCTCTGTGACTTCTTACATTTCTCTGTGACTTCTTACATTTGCAGTGTTTCAACTTCTAACCATGTATCAGATAGATTACAGAATAGCAAAAGTCACATCCGTACAGTGGCTTCTCATCTAACTAAACTTCCCTGTTCAATTGACTTCTTTTTGCCTGTTGGAATTATATGCCTTAGACTTATTCTTTATTTCTCTGATCGCCTCTTCCATATACCTTTAAGTGAATGCTCTTCTAAGAAAGCAGAAAATACCTTCATACCTCTTTTCAAAAACAATCTATGAGCTTCTCTATTGAGTTCTTTCTTAGTGCATTTTACTTGAAGGAACACATCTGCTCCCTAGAGTTTCATCTTGCTTGATTTACGACACCTAAGTAGGTTGCTCCTAAAGTTACTTTCTCCATTTTTTTTTTTAGAGATTTTATTTATTTATGCATACAGAACTGGGGTGCAGGCCAGAGGTGCAGGTCGGTGATAGGATTCATCAGAGACAGAATGGGGAGCAGAACTGGCAGATAGATGAAGTACACTGCTGAGGGGAGCAGTGGGCTGGTCAGGAAAGGTCTGCCGCGCCATGTGGGTCACCTTCAGCCGGGGACTGAGCTCATGCTGAAGGGGCTTTAGCTTCTTAG